TGTGTGAGCATGTGTGCATGCATGTGTGCATGAGAGGTGGTGTGTGTGCACGTGTGTGCATGTGTGTGCATATGAGTGCATGTGCGCATGACAGCGTGGGTGTGTGCACGTAAGGGGTATGTGTATGCAAGTGTGAGTGTGAGTGTGCATGTGTATGAGTGTGAGTTTGTGAGCGGTCTGTGCACACGTGCATGTGTGCATGTCTGAGTGTGTGCACGTGGTGTGAGTGTGTGTACATATGTGTGAGTGTGGGGCAGTGTGTGTGCCTGTGTGTACACATGCATGAGTGTGGGGTGTGCGTGTGTGTACACATGCATGAGTGTGGGGTGTGTTTGTGTGTGTGGACATGCACATGCACACTCCAAGGTGACTTTTCTTTCTCATACTGATGAAGGGGTGGTGGCAAGTTTGCAGGTGCTTCTGGCATTTTCTTCTCTTCTTTGATGGTGGAGACGGCCAGTGCTGTTCAGGGATCCGGTGGTGACAGTGCCCTTACTGTGCACCCATCTCCGCCAGCTTCTCTGGATGCTTATCTCTGCTTCATGAGACGCCGGACACCACAGAGCACCCTCAGACCAAGGGAAGGCAGTTTCTCCAAGATCACACGATGACATCATTTCATGTCTGAAGCAAGAAAGATTGAGTTTAATAGAACCAGAAGGAAGTGTGTGAGATGTCCCTGTCCAAAGATTTTGCAGGAAAGGACCGAGAAGCCCCCTTTCCCTTGGGCCCTGAGCGAAATGGTTAACTTTGACTAACCCGGCAGGGAGAGGGCCCTGAGCGAAATGGTTAACTTCGACTAACCGGGCAGGGAGAGGGCCCTAAGCGAAATGGTTAACTTCGACTAACCGGGCAGGGAGAGGGCCCTGAGTGAAATGGTTAACTTCGACTAACCCGGCAGGGAGAGAGCCCTGAGCGAAACGGTTAACTTCGACTAACCTGGCAGGGAGAGGGCCCTGAGCGAAACGGTTAACTTCGACTAACCGGGCAGGGAGAGGGCCCTGAGTGAAACGGTTAACTTTGACTGACAGACCAGGGAGAGGGCCCTGAGCGAAACGGTTAACTTTGACTGACAGGCCAGGGAGAGGGCCCCGAGCGAAATGGTTAACTTCGACTAACCCGGCAGGGAGAGGGCCCTGAGCGAAATGGTTAACTTCGACTAACCCGGCAGGGAGAGGGCCCTGAGCGAAATGGTTAACTTCGACTAACAGGGGAGGTTTGGTCTGACAGCTGTGACTTGCCTGTGAGTCTCTGGATCCTGTAAGTGAAACTCAACTTCAGGGAGTAGTAAAAATCATCTCAAGATATTAAATCACCAAAGGAAAACAGAGCAAAACAAGAGTTCAAGTGTCACAGCACATGTTTTATTTAGAGGAAGAGAGAACGGCAGAACGGTCACTTGCTGTTCTGCCAGAAGGTGAATAGTTTGAGGAAAATTCCACGACACTTGTAAAGAAGAGAAGAGATCAGGCTGTATCCCCAGAGCACTAACGTGACCCGCGGTTCAGCCCCAGAGGAGCCTGCAGACCACTGGGGAAATCCAAGTCAAGTTTGCAGTATCTTTATGCCAGAGAATACTGGTTTTGTTGATAACAACTGACCCATTGATATCAAACCCTCCTCCACCAGGGCTGCCTTTCTAGAGCTGAGGCTGTGGGTGCGGATGCGGCAGCATCAGCGTTTCTGCAGGACAGGCTGTGTCCACTGGCCCTTCCCGTGGCACCATTGGTGCGTCTGCAGGACAGGCCATGCCCACTGGCCCTTCCCGTGGCACCATTGGTGCGTCTGCAGGACAGGCCATGCCCACTGGCCCCCTGAGGTGGCATCGGTGCATCTACAACACAGGCCATGTCCACTGGCCTGTCCCACTCCTGCTTCCCAGGAGCAGCTCCATCCACCTCAAGGCACAGCCAGGTTCACCCCCAGGAAGCTTCCTTCAACCCGAGTCTCTCTGGGCATCCCCAGTCTCTGATGCTGCACCCTCGGTTCTCAGGGCTGCCTTTCCAGTGTGACTATGGACCTCACTGGGGCCAGGCTCTTAGGCTCTAGATAAACGCCTCCTGAAATCAGCGAATCTTACAATCTTACATCCACCAGCGAAGCTTGCCAGGCACTTTACATCCGTGCCCAACGTGGAAGAAAGCCCAGGGTCTTCAGCCTCCTTATCAATGGTCTCCGGAAAGCCTATATGGTCACAGCAACCATGTAGACACTCAGGTTGAACTGAATGCCGTCGTCAAACGTCCGTGTGGGGTTTCACCGCGAAATTGATGATATGTTACGGACTCAGTACCAGTGAGCAGTTGTTTTAAGCAATAATTTTTTTTAAATACTTGGATTCACATCCTAAAATGTGGATTCCGAGAATACAGTAGGCTAAATAATGACTTTGACACTGGAACTTTGCTGATTCGGTGAAAAACAATGCTCTTCCACAAAGTTCTAACTATAACTTAACGAAAGTCAGTCAGTGGTCATCTCCGCACCACCACAGCACAGCTAATTGCTTCAAACCGCGTTTTCGTTTTAGTGGTTCTGAGAACAGCCTGGCAGGCATGTGCACACACATTTAGAAACAGTATAATCCCTTTAGTCATCCAGGAAAAATCGCTGTGTGTGCCCTCCCAGGTGGAGTGTAGTAAATTCTTCCTTTTGTATGCTGGAGGTGAACTGCTCCTTCTTAATCTGTTTGTTTTAAAAGTGTGGCATGCAACTACATTTTTACAAAGAAATCAGTTTAAAAAATCATTTCATCAGCCTGTAGCAAACACCTTATAAAGTGAGAAGATGTGGTATGCGATTTTCCTGTGATATGGAGATAAGTCATAACCTGCCCCATGAGCTTTTTTAATTTACAAGATATTCCACACAGAAAGGAAGGTTTAGTTGTTTTGTGAAATTTTTCAGACTCTTTAAATTTTACTTAAATACACTTAGTAAGGTCTGTGATTTTGAACAGTGGCGACAGGAGACCTTTGAGAGTAACTATGAAACACATAATGAGCCAAGGTGGGGATGAATTTGCATGTATTTGCTTACATTTTCTGGGAAGGTCACTAACTGATTACTTTCCTCCCTGTTGCATTTTCCTGTGACGTGTGGTGACATGGTTATGACGTTTGATATGTGCCATCGTTCCCTGCTGAGGTGAACCTCGCTGGGAAAATCCAACCAATCCGGGGTGTTTAGTGTCACCTTTTACTCACCTCAACCAATCCGGGGTGTTTAGTGTCACCTTTTACTCACCTCAACCAATCCGGGGTGTTTAGTGTCACCTTTTACTCACCTCAACCAATCCGGGTGTTTAGTGTCACCTTTTACTCACCTCAACCAATCCGGGGTGTTTAGTGTCACCTTTTACTCACCTCAACCAATCCGGGGTGTTTAGTGTCACCTTTTACTCACCTCAACCAATCTGAGGTGTTTAGTGTTACCTTTTACTCACCTCAACCAGTCTGGGGTGTTTAGTGTCACCTTTTACTCACCTCAAACTTGCCAAAGAAAAATATATTTATGCTAAGGCAGATGTCACATTTTAATCTGTATTCCTGCATCTCTGTTGATTTTGATTGTTACTACCCCTGTTGCTGGGACTCAAAACTTCTTCGGAATCAGTATTTCTGGTTAAGAGAACCAACGCAGAGCCAGCTTTGCCACTGGAGAGGTCACTGAGAGCCCCCGTCCGCAGTCTCGCTCTGGCGCGCAGCAGACACCGGCCTGCCTTCAGCTAGAGCCATACAATCTGAAGACGTGTCATTAATGATGAAGACTCTGTTTTCTGTAAATGTCCCATGACAAATGGGTTAACATGAAAACAGCCACCTGCTCTCCAGGGCTGTCACGTGGAAACCCCTTTATCAATGAGCCCTCTTCACACCTCCACCCGCCGTCTCTCTGATCATGTGTCCATGTCGCACTTAACACCCTTGATAAATCAACACTATGAAACACTGTCAGGAAAGGCGTCATGAGAAACAAGTGTTTAAACGGACCTCATCCCTGCCGAGGTGAGATGAATGCGTGGTAACCCAACGCGTCCCACCCAGAGAGACAAAATGATTTCCTAACCCAGGTCTCTCCCTGGCACTATTGGCCTTTGGGATGGAGAAGTCTTGGGAACTTTCTGAATCTCCTAAATAGTGCCTTGAATATTGTCAGTTTTCAATAATTTTCCTTAAGGGATGGATTGACATTAGAGGGAAACGTCAGGAACAAAAGGAAACAAAAAGAAGACAGGATTTTGAATGTTTCTCTGGTAAAAGAGAAGCTCAGCACCCGACTGATTTGATAACATCTGATCATCCTTCCTCAGTTTTCTAGCCTTCAGATTCGCTTTCCAATGCAAGGTTTTTAAACATGTATCCACTTTGGGCTGGGTGTGGTGGCTCACACCTGTAATCCCAGCACTTTGGGAGACCGAGGCGGGTGGATCATCTGAGGTCCTGAGGTCAGGAGTTTGAGACCAGACTGGCCAACATGGTGAAACCCCATCTGTATTAAAAATACAAAAATTATCCAGGTGTGGTGGGGGGGTGCCTGTAATCCCAGCTACTTGGGAGGCTGAGGCAGGAGAATCACTTGAACACAGGAGACGGAGGCTGCAGTGAGCCGAGATCGCGCCACTGCACTCCAGCCTGGGCAACAGAGCAAGACTCCATCTCTCTTCTGAACCTAACGTGATAGAATGAGCGTTTTCCATGATGACGTGACCTGCGTAGAAATGATGCCACACCATCATTTGTGTGCTGTCCTGCGGGGACACACCTTGCTTAGCTGTGTCTCTACTGCTGGATTTGTTGGTATTTTTATAATCCTGCACTTTTACAAGTATATTCATGTATGCTGTCTCACTTTCCCCACATTTTGTGCTATTGTCTTAGGCTAGACGTCCAGGAACAGACTTGCTGTGTCAATCACAGGGCGTGGGCGTGGTGAAACTGTAGACCAGAGGCTGGTGAGGGAGAACACACTTGTTGACTTGGGACTTTCTTTTCTTACAGCCGTCTCATATACAAATTACAAGAAAACCCCCCCACCAGTGCCCCCTCGGACCACCTCCAAGCCTCTGATCTCGGTGACGGCGCAGAGCAGCACCGAATCCACCCAGGATGCCTACCAGGACAGCCGCGTACAGAGGATGTCGCCGTGGCCCCAGGACAGCCGCAGCCTCTACAACTCCACGGACAGCCTGGACAGCAACAAGGCCATGAACCTCGCCCTGGAGACGGCCGCGGCCCAGCGCCACATGCCCGAGAGCCAGAGCAGCTCCGCGAGGACCAGCGACAAGGCCATCCTGGTGTCCAAGGCGGAGGAACTCCTCAAGAGCCGCTGCTCCTCCATCGGGATTCAGGTAGCTGCTCGTGGCCGCCCGTCAGGGCCTCGCTCTACTCAGTCCTGCCAATAGCATAGAATAAGCCAGAACCCAGCCAGTGGCCCTGGGTCCTTAGCACTGACCCTAACCCCAGCAGGGCTGCGGAACCTGAGAGCAGGGCTGTGCGTTTGCATTGCAGACCTGCCAGCACGGCGAGTAGGCGGGAGACCCCTGAGGTGACGCGGACCCCGGTCCAGGGCTGAAGGAAAGCCAGGGGTTCCAGCTGCCTGTCCCCTGTCACCCTGAAAATACACTCCGGGCCGCGCATTTTCCAAGGGCCAAAGGCTGCCTAGAGAGGATGGAGATAACGCTATTTTGATGCTTAAAAGGGAGGGTTTCTGTTGAAGTCTGATTTTTCAAAAAGCTTCTCAGTATTGTGGCCAAAGAGTTGAGTGGGGGAACCAAAAGGTGTTGGGAATGAAGAGGTAAAAGGAAAGGTAGGCCCTCGTCCATACAGAACCTGGGCGTACTCACAGCAATTTCAGGTACAGGCAGTCCCCTCAGCTGGGGTCACAGATGCTGCGTCCGTGGTTTCAGACCACAGATGGTTGACCCACCGTCCATCCGGGCCCCCAGATGTCTGCCCATGATACAGGCGTGGCAGACGGTTCCTTTCCCCGCGAATGGAGAGCTCTGGCCAGCTCCCGCCCACAGGGCACCTCCCTCTGCAAGTCCGTTTTAGGTGCAGTGCTGCGCACCCAGGGAGGCCGGGAGATTGTCCTGTGATCTGGGTCAGGCAGCCCATCCCTCCGGGATCTGGGAGATGTGGTTGAGCAGGGCTGGATGTCAAGTCCTCCGCCAACACGGCCCACCTCCTGCTTCCTTTTACCCCTGCATTCAGCCTGCGTTCCTCGGAGCTTTAACAATCAGATTCTTGATTGCCGCTGGGGCGGCCCAGGGAGGAGGGTGAGTGGAGCGTGCGTGAGAGCCGGGCCGTGCGCGCTGGTAGCTAGGCATGCGGGCGGAGAGAGCAGGGGAGCCGCCCGCTGGTCCAGGGCCTCCGAACCGGGTCTCCACATGTGGCTTCATTGTTTTGTTTAGGATTCTGAATTCCCAGAGCATCAGCCATACCCAAGGTCAGATGTAAGTACCGAAATGTGCTCCAAAGCCGCGTCCGCATGACTTTCATTTTCTCTCCCTTTTTGGATGTTTATGCGACTGCTCTTGTCGCCTCTGTCCTGATTCTATATGCCAGGCACTATGCTGGGTGCCCCCATCCATCCCCTCTTGCCTCTGTCCTGATTCTATATGCCAGGCACTGTGCTGGTTGCCCCCATCCATCCCCTCTTGCCTCTGTCCTGATTCTATATGCCAGGCACTATGCTGGGTGCCCCCATCCATCGCCTCTTAGATGAGGACAAGGGGCTCACCAGGGTCCATAACCTGCCTGCAGCCCTGGGCCTCGCTGGGCCCGGGCACTCGTAAGCAGGAAAGCCAGGGTGCCCTCGCCTGTCTCCGTCTCCAGGGTCATGTCTGCAGTAGAGACTGGAGAGGTCCCCAAATTAGCCAGGTGACTTCCCACTGCCAGATACTCCCACCCTCTCTCTTTTCTCCTCAGCTGCCTCCCACAGGTGCCCTCCAGGATGTCCACCCAGCCATGACCAAGGCAGCGCCCACTTCTAAGCACGTGCAGTACCGACTTTATCTGAAATGAGTGGGACATAATTTTGGAAACTCATACAGTTAAGTCAGCACGCTGGGCACAATGCCACCGCTTCCTGCCCCACCCACAGCCAGGATCCCACACCCCTCAGTGGTCACCCCTCTTCCACTCCCAGCTCTCACCCCTGGCACAGCAGCCTCTGCTGAGTACAGGCTTCTCCTCATCCCCCCAGCTTCCCCTGCAAAGCTCAGCCTGTGCCTTTACCCCCTCCCGGGGGCCTCTCTGGACCCCAGCCCCACACACTGTGTCCCGTGAGGGGGACTGCACCCCCAGCCTCTTGCCACCCTGCACCCAGCACTGTGCCTGGCACATAGGGAGTGCTCAGTAAATGTTGGGTGAGCGAGTGGACGGATGGGTCGCTGGGTGTGTGCTGGGTGAGGATGGATGCAAAGACAGGAATGAAGTTGGATAACAAAGTCACCTTTCAAGGCAGTAAGAAAAAAAAACAAAACGTACAACATCCTGTGTGTTTTCTGTGCATCCTGTGAGCTGGTGACCTCACAGTTATCCAAAGGAAGCGAATTGAAAAGCTATGGAGAAAATGTAGCTGGAGCAGCTCCGGTGTCAGGATAAGGAAAACAGCCAAAGAATTGAAACCACTGCAGGAGTAAAGGGGAGGAAAAGTAGGAACCGAGTGGATGAAAGACAGTTTCCTGTGGGTGCCTGGGAGGCCTCAGGAGGGGAGCTGCAGACAGCAGCCTTGCCAGGGCAGGAGGTGACAGGCTGAGACCGGAGTGAGCAGGCTGTGGACAGGTGGCCACGTCCCCGCCAGGCACCAAGGCACCATTTAATCCTCATAATAACCCTGTGTGCTGGTTGTTACTGTGCCCAGCCTATCGATGGGAAAACTGAGGCTCAGGGGGGTCAGGGACTTGCCTAAGGGCTCACGGCCAAGATTATGAGTGAAGCCAGCGGTTGAGACTCTGGAGCCTGCACTCCACTCCACTCCTCTCTGCTCTGCTTCTCAAAGAGGAGAAAATCCCAGAATGATTCTGTGCCCTCAGGAGCCTGCCCTGGTTCTGTTCCTGTCCTGGGACACAGGGCAGGTGTCACGCTGTTCTGAGCTCATAGACAAAGCTGGCCAGCCTGTGTTCAACCAGCATCCAACGGGACTGGCTTCTGGGAAACTTTGGGCACAGTTTTGTCTGAGTGCAGATAGCAGGAGAATCTGTGTTCTGCAAATGTCATTCCTACAAATGAACAGTGTCCATGCTACTGAACACATCTTCTGTGTACCTCACGCCCTCTGTGGCCCGCTGGCTCGCAGAAAGACAGCTCCAGGGGGGTCCCGTCCCACAAGGCAGCTCCCTTGTTCACAGTGCATTGCATGACCTTTTACTACCAGGGTTTGAATTCAGGATTCTCATTATAATTACTGGGCTGTGTCTAACATGATCCCCAGTGAGTGAGGGTCCTCAGCTCACACCACCTATGGCCCCCATCCTCCCTCCCTGCCCAGCTTGGAGCAGAGGCCAGTGGCAAGTCCCCTGTTCCTCAGATGTCTGGACATGGCCGTGTGAGTCTGGCCCTTACAGCAGGACACACAGACAGGTCTCATCAGAGCTCCAAATTTGCAGGCTAGATGCCCGTAGGAGAGAATGGGCCCCAGTCTTGGCACTCATAGGCCAGTCCTAGGATAAGGAGGAGAGCTTGTGGGCATGGCTGAGCCACCTCGGAGAGGTCCTCTGACCCGGTCTGGCCTGACCTTGCTTTTCTTCCAATTGGACCATTTGTGTTTTCACTTTCATTTTTATCCTTTGCGGTTTGTCTCTCCTGCTAAGTTTTCCATTTTCTTTTGTGTGCATGTGTGTGTTTGGGGAACTCTGTGGGAAATGTTTACAGCTCCCAGATATTGCAGTTAGGTGAGGTGGAGGCCTGGTCTAACAGTCAGGATCCTTCTGTCCCTGGTGCCTTACGAGCCCCACCTTTAGAAATGAGATCAGTTTTGTTGTTGTTTTTTAATTTTTTTTTTTTTTTTGAGATGGAGTCTTACTCTGTTGCCCAGGCTGAAGTGCTGTGGCCTGATCTCGCCTCACTGCAGCCTCCGCCTCCTGAGTTCAAGTGATTCTCCTGCCTCAGCCTCCCAAGTAGCTGGGATTACAGGCATGTGCCACCATGCCTGGCTAATTTTTGTGTTTTTAGTAGAGATAGGGTTTCACTATGTTAGCTAGGCTGGTCTCGAACTCCTGACCTCAGCTGATCCACCTGTCTCGGCCTCCCAAAGTGCTGGGATTACAGGTGTGAGCCACCGCGCCCGGCCAATGAGATCAGTCTCTATTCTGTGATCTCACCAGGTTGTGAGAGGGCAGAGGCAACCTGGAAAAGACGCTGACTGGTGTCTGCCCGATTCTCCAGACACACAGTCAGCTGCTCTTCCTCACGGCTGCCCTGGAGCTCAAAGCCTCACAGGCGGGGCTGGCCACTCACCCCTAACTCTTGGAGGGAGAGCACGTCTCAGAGGGAAAGAGGAGTTTGCATCAAATCGAGGGCACCTGCCCTGCTGTGTGTGAGGTTTGGAAGAAAGAGCAGAAAATGAGCTTGTCGGGAGAGCAGAGATTACAGGTTGGCACCCTGGCCCGATATTACTAGTGAGCGGTTCCTGCTGCCAGCCCTGCCCACAGTCATTTTCTCAGCGTCCCTGCAGAAGCTGGCTCAGAAGCGGCTGGTTGGCTTTGACGCTGCTGCTAGCCTGGGACTGCATGGGAGGCGGGACAGTGATTTTGCTCATTCATCTTTTTTCTTGCACCCATGTATTTTTCAAAACTGTAAGAGATGAGGGCTTGCTGTGTTGCCCAAGCTGGAGTACAGTGGTGCAATCATAGGTCACTCCAGCCTCAAACTCCTGGGCTCCAGTGATCCTCCCCCTCAGCCTTGCAGAGCACCAAGGTTACAGGTGTGAACCCGTGTGCCTGGCCTCAAAACTTTTTAAACCTACTTCTAGCCAGCATTTCCTTTGGAAAAGACTCTTGAATTGCCTTTCCACTGTACAAAATAATTTATTTTCTTTGTCCCAGATTTGCTTTTCTGTCTCACAGGAAGCCTCTCTATGCCCAGGATTTCTGAAATTGATACTTAACTCCTCCTGGCCAAGTATGATTTTACCATGTCTCCCTCAGACTTTACCTTCCAGCAATGCTGAACTTCATTTTCCTTAGAAAGATTTCATGAGACAGCCACGATAAAATCTGCATGGTTCATCATATGCGTGCACCTTTAATGTAATTTTAATGTAATATGCATACCACTATTCACCTGACCATCCTTAAAGCTGGGATGAGAGAACAGGGAATTCGCACTTGCTGTGGACGAACCTACTTGAGTCAGGCCTCATGCTGAGAGTTTTACATCAGTTAACTGAGGCATTGGATGTCCCCTCTTTGAGACAAGGAAGCAAAGATTCAACAAAATTTAAAAGACTTTCCTAAATTGCATGGCCAGCAAGTAGCAGAATCTGACCAGTTCCAAAAGCTGTATTTTTCAAATTCACTATAAAAATAACAAAAATATATTAGAGGAAATTTGGAGACAGAGAAAGGAAGGAAAAGCTTTTACTTTTTTTTTTTTTTTTTTTTGAGACGGAGTCTTGCTCTGTGCCCCAGGCTGGAGTGCAGTGGCGCGATCTCGGCTCACTGCAAGCTCCGCCTCCCCGGGTTCACGCCATTCTCCTGCCTCAGCCTCCCGAGTAGCTGGGACTACAGGCGCCCGCCACCTCGCCCAGCTAATTTTCTTGTATTTTTAGTAGAGACGGGGTTTCACCGTGTTAGCCAGGATGGTCTCGATATCCTGACCTCGTGATCCGCCCGTCTCGGCCTCCCAAAGTGCTGGGATTACAGGCTTGAGCCACCGCGCCCGACCAAAAAAGCTTTTACTTTTTTGTGTGTTTTTCGTCTCTTCCATGGTACACGTACTTGCCTGTGAGTATGGGTGTTTCTACGTGTGTGCATGCACCTGGTAATTCTGTTGTCCATGGCACCTGTTAATCTGTGTCCTTTAAAGTCTGTATTATAAGCATTCTTGAGGTTATCTTTATAACCATCTTTATTTTTTAGAGACAGGGTCTCACTCTATTGCCCAGAATGGAGTTCAGTGGTGCATTCACAGCTAACTGTAGCCTCAACATCCTGGGCTCCAGTGATCCTCCTGCCTCAGCCTCTGGAGTAGCTTGTCCCACAGGTGCTGCCACTCAGCTAATTTTTGTTTTGTTTTGTTTTTTGTAGAGATGGGGTCTTGACATGTTGCCTAGGCTGGTCTCAAACTCCTAGGCTCAAGTGATCCTCCCGCCACAGCCTCCCAAAGCACTGGGATTACAGGCATGAGCCACCATGCCCAGCTCCATCGTTTTCACGGCTGTGTGGTATTCCATGTCACGAGTAAATCATGACTTACTGCACATTCCTATCCCACTGTATCCCCCTCATTCTCCCCAGGTGCTACCTTATAAATAATGCTGCAATGAACACCTCACACATTGGTCAGAATTTAAGATCCTTTGTTTAGGCTGGATTCCTAGAAATAGAATAAGTGAGACAAATATTCTCCACATTTTTATGATAAAAACTTTAAAAGTATCCATTGGAATTTATTTCACTCATATCAGATTTGACAATATCTACCAAAATTAAAAAGTGCAAATGCCTCTGACCCAGACCTCCCATCCGGTGGATACATTCACAGAAGTTTTCACACACACACAAGTACAGACATGTATTTGTAGCAGCATCATTTATAATGGCAGAAAACTAGAAACAACCAGATTTCCCTCCACTGAAGGCTCATTAAATGCACTAGGTTGTATTCATCAAATGGGATCCTTTGCAGGTAAAACACGAGGCAGCTCCATAGGTACAGACGTGGAATTTTAAATCTATTCCTTGTATTACAATCCTTTTGTGTAATAATGTTTATGTCGAGCAAGGTAAGGTTTAATAAAGCCGTGACCCACTTAAAACTAGAAAGGGGAATGGTCAATTCTGACAGGAAGGCCAGGATCTTCACTCAGGAATGTTCTTCCTCCTGTAGCCCGTCTCACTCAGCTATCAGAACACGCATCCCAGTCTAGGGACGGATTCTGCACCTGTCTTCAGAATTACACCCAATGAAAGTGGACGTCTCTGTCCATTCCCCTGGCTCCATGGCCGGCCAAGAGCTCCAGGGTTTTCTCATATGCTTTCTTCCATGCCACACACGGCTCTGGGGTCAGAGAGATCTGGGCAAGAGCCCTGGCCCTGCCCCCAACCAGCTGGGCACTCCTGAGCAAGTCACCCCCCCCCAACTCCTCTGATCCCCCAATTCTCTCCTGGGGCTGGAAACATGCTTGGGGTTATTGTATGGATTACACGTGGTAACGCTGGAACCTCAGCATAGTGCCTGGGACAGGGTACGCGCCAAGTAAGTCTTCCCTGTTACCATGATTACTTCTCTTAGCCACAAATCTGAGCCAGTCCTTGTTGACACAGGCTTAACCTTAGGACAGTCACAAACTGCAACTCAAATGTCAATGTGCAGCTCCTCTCTTGACTCCCAGAGAACACGGTCATAATTATTTAATGCTTTGCACCTTTTCCTTGTAGTGATCAGTAATATGTTTAGGAAAAGAGAGATGTTTTATAACTTAGCTGTGACATTTCAGAGAGGGATCAAAAGCCCTTTTGCTACCATAGGTAATATTTTTCTGGAAGGAGGAATGACTCAGTGCCTGGAATCTCATCAATGGCTTAACTAACGTTTGGTTTCAGAGTTTTCCTACTGAGACTTAGGGGTTTTTTGTTTTTAAGAAACTGTACTGTACTAGAATTCCCTTGTGGGATAACTTTGCATAGTTGATGATCATTGAAATGTTTGGTGGGTTTGTGGGGACTTTTTGGCAAATAATATAGCCACAGTAAGAATTCTCTGTGGAATATATGATTTCTGTTCTGATCTGACATCACCCTGCTGGCCATCCTCTTAGCAGATGTGAGACAGCTCTATGGAGGTCAAGGTGGAGAGTTTGCCTCTGTTTCTGATCAATGCTTAAATTCCTTTCTGTGTCTCCCTGTATGTGGCTGCAGCCATCAGTATAATTCTATTAAATTGCTTATTTGTTGCCATTAGCTATGTTTGGTTCATGCTGTACTTTCATCACCGTAGGGCGTGATAAGAGCTTTTAAGTCCTGTAATAATGCAGTTCAACAAAACCTATTTTTTGCCTGAGCTGAACTAAGCAGTTTTATTTGCATACATTTAAAAGACCAAAGTGCAGCTCTGAGTTCAGGTAGTTATGTAAAATGTGATGAGACGCAGGAGCGATGTAATTACTCTGATGTGAATGCATTTCCCTCTCTGTGATTCTACTGGGTCAAGTGTATCTCTGCATTAATTAAACAAATACGTAATTAATTACAGCAAATCAGCAACAACAACAAAATAGTCCCTTGCGCAGGCCCCATGTTTCTGTTCTAAAATAAGATGTTCTCTGTTGAATTAGGTGGAAACGGCCACAGATTCTGACACGGAGAGCCGTGGTCTGCGGGAATACCACTCCGTCGGGGTGCAAGTGGAAGATGAGAAGCGGTAACTCAGCCCCTTCTGACACGCAGTCACCCCCGAGGGAGAGCTCTTTGTCAAATGCCTGATGGAAGCTCCTAGGTCCTGCTGGCCCTCAGTCATGCCTGTGCTTGTGGAAACAGGGCCATACGTTTATACTTTTCCATTGATAGCCCCCAAGTATGAGTTAACACCTGCCTATGTCTTGTTTTTGCAAGAGGCAAGGGAGTAATTCTTTCCAAAGTAATTTGTCACCTCTGAAAGCAGAGCAGCTGACTGCCTGAAAGTCACAGTCCTTGATCCAAAGGAAAGAAGGATGGGCTGAGGCTGGGCACGGTGGCTCACGCCTGTAATCCCAACACTTTGGGAGGCCGAGGTGGGCAGATCATGAGGTGAGGAGATAGAGACCATCCTGGCTAACACGGTGAAACCCCGTCTCTACTAAAAATACAAAAAACTAGCCGGGCGAGGTGGCGGCGCCTGTGGTCCCAGCTACTCGGGAGGCTGAGGCAGGAGAATGGCGTGAACCCAGGGGGCGGAGCTTGCAGGGAGCCAAGATGGCGCCACTCACTCCAGCCTGGGCCACAGAGCCAGACTCTGTCTCAAAAAAAAAAAAGGACGGGCTGAGGGTGACACCAATACAGGCTTCACACCTTGTCATGTTAAACGTGAAATGATAGAAAGACAGCAAAGCACATTCAAGACCTTCGTATAAAGTGAAGTTGTTTCACTTCAAAAATACTACCTGGAAACATAAAGTGATGTCCATTAGTGTTATTTTTGCAACGAGGCAGGATGATCATTTTAGTTTATATTTAAAATAGCATGTATTGTCTATTTCATAAAAACAAATTTTGATGAGACTATTACATTGTGAGGGCTCAGCCAGCCTCTGATAGGGACAGTGTTGGGTGGCCTCCCTCATCAGGGAGCATTTTAGCACCCACCCTCTGGAGATTTTTGATTACAAAGAGATTCTGACCCCAGCTCATGGCTTCCCCAGTTTCCAAGTAGACCTCCTAGAACCTGGCCATATTCTGCACCGGGGAGCCGGGCAGGCTGCCTTCCATCCTGCTCTGTGACTCAGTGTCCCTCCCGCAAAGGGAACACGTGGCAACATTACTAACCAGCTCTGTGCTTCTGTGGGTTCAGCCTGCAGAGCCACGGGGATGGCTGCAGTAGCTGGGGCTATGTAGACACAGAGACACACACCACACAGGCACACACTACAGATGCACATATGTACACATATCCCAAACACAGAGATACAGAGGACACACACGTGCACACACACGCTCACAGCGTTCTCACCCAGCATGCTGGTCTCCAACTATAAGCCCCTTCCTGCCGACTATTTCAGTGATCAGCCATGTGGAAAAGGATGACATTAAAATACAGACAGTGAAAATGTTTTTCAAACACCAAAGTCAGAATTTGGAGTCCTTATTTTGCATATAGGGGTTAATGGGGACATATTAAGTTATTCAGACAGAAGTGGCTCAGGCCCTGAAACACAATTTGGAAGCCACTAAAACTCAGTATGATGTGGGTATTGTTTACATAGAAGAACCCACGACCTCGGCTGTATAAGCTTGTAGCATATTTCTGAAAGGGAGGTAGCCGTTTGCTAATAGCGGTTTCATGAAACACATTAACTCTCATTGTATCATTCAATAAACTTAAATCCCAAGTGGGCGTTTTTTAGGGCCTGAGACTTAGGCAGATGTTAAAGTTTAACGATTTGCAAAACCAAATGTTCTTCCATAGACAAACACCAGCACATTTCACAGACAAACCACCACCCACCCTTGAGCTGCTATGCTGCCGCGCTCAGGTGTGCTCCTGACAGGCCACATGTAGGATTCTGTTGCACCAAGTCCTCTCAGAAAGGCTACCCTCTCTCTTCCTTCCCTCCTTTTGCAGACACGGCCGTTTTAAACGTTCTAACAGCGTCACGGCTGCCGTCCAAGCTGACCTGGAGCTGGAGGGGTTCCCAGGCCACATCACCATGGAGGACAAAGGCCTCCAGTTCGGCTCATCCTTCCAGCGGCACTCCGAGCCCAGCACCCCCACCCAGTATGGCGCGGTGAGAACTGTACGGACCCAGGGGCTCTTCAGCTATCGAGAAGACTATCGGACCCAAGTGGACACCTCCACCCTGCCCCCTCCGGACCCGTGGCTGGAGCCCGCCATCGACACAGTAGAGACTGGGAGGGTGTCTCCGTGCCGCAGGGATGGGTCCTGGTTTTTGAAGCTGTTGCACACGGAGACGAAGAGGATGGAAGGCTGGTGCAAAGAGATGGAGCGAGAGGCGGAGGAGAACGATCTCTCGGAGGAAAGTAAGAGCTCAGGCTTCCCTGGGGCCTCTTAGACACCATTTCTCAGTCATGCAAACATGCACATCACAGCATTAATGGAGAAAAGTTCCTTCCTTTGGTATTCAAGTGAATGAAAATAAACGTGCTTTCTAGTATATCCCCCTCAATTCTAAGAAAAGATATAAATTACATGAAAAGAGAAGCAGCCACTAAGATATCGGTGGAAAAGTGTGTGTTCTGTTCATCAGGTAAGTTGAATAGAAGATCAACTGTGCTGACAGTTTCCTTGGGAGCACAGGTGATCTCACAGTCCACCTAGCAGTTCTCTTGGATTTTGGCAAAAACTTCATTGGGAGCATTCGTATTATTTTCTAGTATTGTTACCAGCTCATGCTTTACAAGAAAATGCCTTGGCATTATGCCGAAGGTAAGTAAAAGATTAAGTTAGTTAACGATGTGATGACGTACCCAAAGGTCTCCTCACCTGGGTGGGACGGGAAGGCCACGTCGTTCCTCTACCAGGTGTCACCAGGCAGATCTGTCCCAGCCCCTTTGGGGCTCAGCTGTGCCTCTGCCTCTCCACGTGGAAGGGGACAGCCCCTTATTCTCCACCTTCCTCCCATTTCTCTAGAGAAACCTACCATCAAGACGGTTCAGACCAGGCGCGGTGGCTCACACCTGTAATCCCAGCACTTTGGGAGGCTGAGGTGGGCAAATCACCTGAGGTCAGGAATTCGAGACCAGCCTGGCCAACATGGTAAAACCCCGTCTCTACTAAAAATACAAATTAGCCAGGTGTGGTGGTGGGCACCTATAATCCCAGCTACTTGGGAGGCTGAGGCAGGGGAATCACTTGAACCTGGGAGGCGGAAGTTGCAGTGAGCCAAGATCGTGCCGTTGCATTCCAGCCTGGGCAACAGAGTGAGACACTGTCTTAGAAAAAAAAAGGGCCGGGCGCTGTGGCTCAAGCCTGTAATCCCAGCACTTTGGGAGGCCGAGACGGGCAGATCACAAGGTCAGGAGATCGAGATCATCCTGGCTAACACAGTGAAACCCTTTCTCTACTAAAAAATACAAAAAAAACTAGCCGGGCGAGGTGGCGTAGTCCCAGCTACTCGGGAGGCTGAGGCAGGAGAATGGCGTAAACCCGGGAGGTGGAGCTTGCAGTGAGCTGAGATCCAGCCACTGCACTCCAGCCTGGGCAACAGAGTGAGACTCTGTCTCAAAAAAAAAAAAAAAAAAAAGAGTTCAGAAGCAGCTCCCATTATAAATTGCTGTATTTGACTTCTAAGCTAATACTACCTGTCTTTGTTTATAGATTACATAATTGCACAGTACCTACAACTAGTGCTTATGTTGAACACAGTACAGTTTCACAAAGCTATTTCTGAATGTCTTGACAAATTATGTTCTTTCTAAAGTGTTTTTCTTTTTCTTCGAATTTATTTGTACATTGACATGATCACTATAAATTCTGAACTTCAAAAGGATAGCTGAGATCCTTGGAAATTTGTCCCTGACATTCCATTTCTAGATGGCTGTGTTAACAGGGCATTCACTAATCCTAGAAATAGAAGTACAACAGTGAAACTACATTGACCGGGACTTACAGAGAACAACGGCCTTGGAGCCTCAGCAGTCTGAGAACATCATTGACGTGCTGATTTTTTATTGTTATAACTTAAGGTCTGAACCTAGGAAGAAAGAAAGAGATTGCCTTTAATTGACTAATCCTGTTCTTCCACATTTGTCTCTTAATCATCAAATTCCACGTATCCTTTACAGGAGGTGACGCTGGACACTGAGTGTTGGGGAGGAGATGTTGCTGTGGGAAAGCCTTCCACGTGACCCAGTCCCCGCAGCACCCACGGCTGCAGGGGGCTGGCGCAAGTCAGTGTAGCCGTGTTCCGATCGTTCCCGTGGCGTTCGCATTTCTCATGGTTAGGGTACATTGAACAGAGTGACTGCTCACGATTTTGACATCTAAAAATCACTCATTTTCTGCAGCACCTTCCCCCTTGTTGGTATATGCCTCAACTTGGCAAAACTGTCTTAATTATAAAAGGGGTTTGTAATCTTTAGCACAAAGATACAACACAGAAAAACTGTATTGCCTAAGTTGATGCCAAATTCGAGTTAAAGTGCCAGCTCTGGTTTGGTGCGTGCTGACGGGGCAGCGTCGGGCTGGGGTACCTTCCTTCCAGGATGAGAGCAGGTGGTGAGACCTGCGTGTCACTCAATCAAGGTGTGTTTTCTGCAGCATGTGGTTCCTCAAAAGAACACTTTTGAGGAGGAGGAGAGAGGGAAAAGTTTACAAAGAGGTCATGTTCGTCAGGGCTTAGCCCATAAAATGCCTATAAAATTGTATCTTATTATCATTTGAGTGTATCCCATTCAGGACACATTCAGAAAGTTCTGTTCTTCTTTAGAAGGTGTAAGACATTGAGACATTAGCCATTACTGTGTTTATAACACAGAGACTACATTCCCTGTCATTTTCCACGTTTAGTGTGTACTTTCAATTTAGTTTCTTCAAGGATTATCATTTTTGAAAAGATACCTTTAAAAAAAAATAGAATCGGCTGGGTTCTGTGGCTCACGCCTGTAATCCCAGCACTTTGGGAGGCCGAGGCGGACGGATCACGAGGTCAGGAGATCGAAACCATCCTGGCTAACACGGTGAAACCCCGTCTCTACTAAAAATACAAAAAGTTAGCCAGGCATGGAGGCAGCTGTAGTCCCGGCTACTTGGGAGGCTGAGGCAGGACAATGGCGTGAACCCAGGAGGCAGAGCTTGCAGTGAGCCGAGATCCTGCCACTGCACTCCAGCCTGGGCGACAGAGCGAGACTCCGTCTCAAAAAAAAAAAAAAAAAATTGGAATCCTCAGCTGGGCGCAGTGGCTCACACCTATAATCCCAGCACTCTGGGAGTCTGAGGCAGGAGGACTGCTTGAGCCTAGGAGTTTTAGACCAGCCTGGACAACACAGTGAAACCTTGTCTCTACCAAAAAAATAACATTTTTAAAAGTAGCCTGGTGTGGTGGCACATGCCTGTCGTCTCAGCTACTCAGGAGGCTAAGGTGGGAGGATTGATTGCCTGAGCCCCAAAAGTGGAGGTTGCAGTGGCCAATATCCCGCCACCACTCCAGAACAACACCCTGTCTCAAAAAAATAAAGGAACAATATCTAGACCAGTTCTCCCTGAACACATACGACAGGTCAGGTTCTAGGCTGAATGCACTGCAGACCTCACTGATGCTCATCCCCACGGACTAGGCGGGTAGTAGTGCCAGCATTCTACAGGTAAACTGGGGCTCTGAGAGATTAAGATCTTGCCCCAAATCACAGAATAGCAGCAATGACTTGGGACTGGGAGTCACAACCCTCTGACGTTGAAGGCTCCGCCTTTCTAACCCGTGGTCCGAAGGTGTCCAGATGTTCCCTTACAGGAAGCACCCCCTCCACTGCCTGCTTCCACGCTGGATGTGCATCCCCTGCTTTCTCCTGCTGTTTCAGACAAGGTTGTGTCCCATCCCTGACCCTCCACCGCTGTGACCCACACATGGCCCACAGAGTCCCTCAGCCGCGAAGCTGAGGCCAAGGTTCTCCCGCATTAGCCACTGGAAAATAAGTGGCGGGAGCTGTAAGGAGGCAAATTATTTCTCAAACCAAGAATGAAAGTCCTTACAATTAAAGGGCTTTAGTGCTGAGGCCCTGTCGCAGTAAGTCCTGGTTTTCTGTCACTAGAGGCATTCCAGAAAATTCTATAAATTATGCCATAAAAGTACTACATGCAAAATTGAATTTGATGACATATAGGGACCCAGATCAACAGTAAGATTCCAAAATCTTAGGATATATAGTAATTTTTTTTTTTTTTTTTGAAAGGGAGTCTTGGTCTTTCTCCCAGGCTGGAGTGCAATGGCATGATCTCGGCTTACTACAACCTCCACCTCCTGAGTTCAAGTGATTCTCCTGCCTCAGCCTCCCAAGTAGCTGGGATTACAGGCACGTGCCACCATACCTGGCTAATTTTGTATTTTTAGTAGAGATAGAGTTTCACCATGTTGGCCAGGATGGTCTTGAACTCCTGGCCTCAAGTGATCTGCCCACCTTGGCCTTACAAAGTGCTGGGATTACAGGTATGAACCAACCACGCCCAGCCAGGATACCTAGTATTTAAATTTCACTTACCTTATTATTAGGCATCTGAAAAACTATTTTTCTTCAATAAGGTAGGGTGGAAAGTTAATTTTTGCTGCCTCCAAATTGTATTTCCTTAAACACATGTTTGGTTTTGTTGTAGGGTTTTTTTGTTTTGTTTTGTTTTTTACCTTTTGGAGCCTCCAGGATCCTCCTCTGGACTCTCTCAGCTCAGTGATGTCTGCATTCAACAGATATTTACTGATTTCTTATGATGGAGCAAGCCACTCTCCGACAGACAAAAATGATGAAACAATGAGTAAGACATGGCAAAGGACCTAACCAGTCACCTGACAGTGGGAGCAGACAGACCAGGGAAAAACTATTTACAGGAAGTGGAAACTGTTTAGTGTCACAAGAGAGGTGCAGATAAAGTACCTTAAAAACTCAGGGGTCTCAGCAACGCTTTCACCTGGGAAGATTCTGAGAAGGCTTCCCGGAGAAGGTGGCACCGTGCTGGGCCTTGACGCGCGGCTGGATTTGGCCAAGGAGGTGGATGGGGATGATAGAAAAGGAGATTCAAGAGTCCACGCAGAGGCAGAGAACTGGGGAGCAGAGGCCCCTTTGTCTCCTTCCTCTGGAGGAAGATCTTCACGTCAGCACTGCCCTTCACCCGGCTTGCGGGGAGGGTGTGCGCTACCTGACCTCTCAGAGCCCTCTCTGTCGGGGCCATGCCCCATGCCCTGGGGGACAGGTGTTCCTCAAAGGATGAAACTTCCCTAAAGCTCCACCCTCTGCCTTCATTTGAGATTTTAGTCTCCTTCAATGCAGTAGTCACATTTAACATTTATCATCCACAGATAGTGCCTCACACATCG